CACGCCCGCCAGTGAGCTCCCGGGCGTCCCCGGCCTCTCCAGCTCGGCGGAGCGAGGATAACCGGAAAGCCGGACCCAGGGGTGGGTGGATGCGTCGCTGGAGGCGGGGGCCCTGCCCGCCAACCCCTGCGCCCCGGCCGTAGCCCCACCCCGGAAGTCCTTGCTTCGCCTTCTCCGCCCCGCAGTTCTCTAGTGTCTCTTGAGGTTTGCCCAGGTGATCCCGTGGTTTTCATGTGTCTTCCGTGTTTTTCAGGGAAGCGGGTCACTATTTGGCCGTTCCAGAATCTCAGAGTCCGGTTCTCCCGGAAGTTTCCGGGCTGCCCCGGACCCCATTGGCTTTAGGCGCCGCGACTCCGAGGGTTCTGATTTGGACCCTAAATTTTGGAATACTGTGCTTTGTCCATCCTAGCCTTCTTCAGGCAGATTTCACCTCCCACACATTGAATAATTTATGGCAGAAAGGAAGTTGGAGGGATGGGGACTGCAGGTTAGCTGTGGGGGCCGGAAGGGAGCGGCTTTGTGCTGCACATATGCAGGTTGCACTCCCGGAGCAGGGACCGCCAGGCGTGCTTTGGGAACCGCTTTTGTTTTTCAAATGAACGCCCAGCGACAGCGGACGGGAGTTCCAGGACCTTAGAGACCGTCTAATGCTTCTCTTTCAGTTAAGGAAACAGGCCGAGGCGTGTTCATGGCCTTGCCTAAGGTTACGTGCTGATTACAGCGCTACTCCTGCTGCCTTTTAGAAACAGAAACCTAACAGGAGAAAAAAAAACGGACTATAAGGGAGGCTGATGCTCTTGAAGTTTTAATACTACTAAAAGTAAACGCACTTTTCAGAGTGGAAGGGAAGTGAAAAAGGAATTTGGGTGGCTGGCTACATCAGAAGCTTCTGTTACAACTTTAGATTGTCAGGGATTTCAGATGGTGGGTTTTTAAAATAACAAGCTCGAGGCTGGGCGTGGTGGCTCACGCCTGTAATCCCAGCACTTTGGGAGGCTGACGCAGACGGGTCACCTAAGGTCAGGAGTTCGAGACTAGCCTGACCAACATGGAAAAACCCCGTCTCTACTAAAAATACAAAAAAATTAGACGGGCGTGGTGGCGCATACCTGAAATCTCAGCTAGAGGGGAGGCTGAGGCAGGAGAATCGCTTTAACTCGGGAGGCAGAGGTTGCGTTGAGCCAAGATTGCCCCATTGCACTCCAGCCTGGGCAACAAGAGCAAAACTCTGTCTCAAAAAAATAATAAAGAACATAACATGCTCCTCTATTGAACCATGGGGTTATGTCCCAGTAAACCCATGGTAGGTCGAAAATGCATTTAATGCACCTAGCCAAACTTAAACGTCCTCAGAACACTTACCTTGCCTGCAGTTGGGCAACATCGTCTAACACAAAGGCTATTTTATAATAAAGTGTTGACTATGTCATGTAACTTACTGAATACTGCATTCTAAATGGAAAACAGAATGGTTGTATGGGTACTCGAATTACACTTTCTACTGAATGCATATTGCTTGTGCACCATGGTAAAGTGGAGATGCGAGTTGAACCTTTCTGTGGGACCATCCATATGCATATAAACTCTGTTTCATGTAATTCAGTTTTACAAACCAGAAACTCAGGCATTGCTGTTTCCTTTTTGTGGAGATACAACTTGGTATTTTAGACATCAAAAGTATTTGTATTTTATTTATTTATTTGAGATGGAGCCTTGCTCTGTTGCCCAGGCTGGAGTGCAGTGGCGTGATCTCGGCTCACTGCAAGCTCCATCTCCCGGGTTCACATCATTCTCCTGCCTCAGCCTCTGGAGTAGCTGGGACTACAGGGGACCGCCACCACACCCCGCTAATTCTTTTTTTTTTTTTTTTGAGATGG